AGCCGTAACACAGTCATTATCAGGGAGTGATTGTTCGGCTCCAGCCTTGGGCCTGCAGCTGGCGCCGTGATGGGGATCCGCAATGTTTATGTTGGTTTTGTTAATTTCCATGCGAGCAGCCCAGGATAATTTTTCAGGCTGCTCTTTAACACTCCGACACTGGCCTCCTGATCTCCCGTTGGAGAGTCGCGAGCCTCCCCATGATGGTATCAAACTTCTGTTCCATGGTGTTATCGTTCTTTTGATTCTGAGACCTCACAACTGCAGTGATCCGTTCCGCGATGTTTTCCAACTGTTTTCCAAAAAACAGAAAACACTGGAGCCCAGAAAATAACCAAACAAAAAAAAAGGCCCACAAAAGGCGCAGGCGTCCAGGAAAACACTCCCAAAAAAGTTCAGGGGGCCGGCCTGGAGGTCGATAACGCAAAAGTCCAAAGAACAGTTCTGGAGGCTGACCGCGGAGCCAGTGGCGGTGACGGAGCAGGTCATGAGGCCGGCCACGACAGCAATGATGTCCAGCCAACGACCTGGAAAGTGGCCGGACAGGACGAGGACGAGCAGGCCGGACAGGAACAGGTGAGGCAGGACAAGACGGTGCGGACACCTCCAGGCAAGGCAATGGCGTGGGAGCCACAGATGGAGGAGCGGTGGTGGTGCTGCAGGCGACGGCGTGGGAGCCGCAGATGGTGGTGCTGCAGGCAACGGCGTGGGAGCCGCAGATGGTGGCGCTGCAGGCGACGAAGACTGGACAGGCCTCGCAGACCCTCCAGCGGAGACAGAAGGCTGAACAGGCCCCTCGGGCCCTCCAGCGGAGACAGAAGGCTAAACGGGCCCCTCGGGCCAGGAGACGGCTGGAGCGGTTCTCCAGAACCCCCAGCAGGAACAACAGACAAAGGCCGGACGGGCCCCTCGGATTCTCCAGCAGGAACAGGTGGCTGGACAGGCTCCTTGGGCCCTCCAGCGGAGACAGAAGGCTGAACCTGGCTGGACCTCAGCCTCCCTCACCTGAAGCACTGAAACAGGTGCAGGGGAATGCTGGGCCCGATCTGCCCTGGGAGCAGGAACACAACGGGGCGAAGGAGCAGGCTCAGGAAACACAAACTCCTCTAAAATGTTTTTTAGCTTCCTACCACCACCACGTCTAACAGTCTTAACAGTCTCAGTTTTAGCATATGATTGTCTTTTTCCAGCTCAGAGGAACAAAAGCAGTCATTATAATTCACCACTGGGAGTTGCTCCGCAGAGAAAGAGTGGTGACGGTGTGAGCGCCGCCTCCTCCGGGAAGTGGGGGGTGACAAACTGGGCTGCAAATCCTCCAACGGACCGGACTGCAATGAGGAATCAGAGAGTTTATGAAGCTCAGAACGCTGCAGTCCCATAAAGAGAGCAAAAGACTGCAGCGGAGTAAGTCCAGTGTCTGCCGTTGCATAATCCTTCTTCCTCCACGGCTTCAGCCTCTTGTTGGACTGGTAATTCGGGGGTGGAGGTGGAGGTGTAGCGACCGGAGAGAATGAGCACATGCTCAATCTGATCGTCCAAGGCATAGGCACCGGCTCGGCCGTAGCCATGGCAGTTTGGAGGCTGCAGGGGCCTCCCCAAGCCAAACGTGACCCATAGGAGGGTGACTGGAGCTCCCGGGCATGCTTAGCCCTGTGACTCACGTTCTCCTTTAGGAAGGCAGAAACTGCGGGTCACCGATACCACACGGAATCTGCTGGGTCCATGTTCTTGGTCGTGATCTTCTGTTATGAAACGGCTGTGTGCAGGCAGGAAAAGGACCCAAAGTGCAGACTCGGGAGACAGACGTGAACTCAAAAAACAGCTTTAACGCTGAACTCAAAGTGACAAACTTTCAAAGCACAAACATTAACGCAGGCAGAAAAACAAAAACCACAGCATGCGTGAGGGTAGATAAGAGTAGATCGCGACACGGACACAGAGAAACACAGGGCTTAAATACACAGAGGGAGCAATCAGGGAAAGGGTAACAGGAGGGAAACACAGCTGGGGAAAATCAGGCCTAACGAGACAAAGGAAGCAAAACCAGACACATTTACATGAGACACGGACTTTCAAAGTAAAACAGGAAACATAACACAGAGACGCAAACCTGACAAGGGGATACAGCTGACAGGGGAGACAGAGCAACTAGAGAACACAGAGACATAAACAATAAGACAGAACTCTAACAAAGAAGCCAAAGACTAGACATGATAAATAATATAATAAACTCAAAACCCTGGGTCAATGACCCAGGCATCCTAACACAGAGCAAAGGGTGGGGAGACACAGGTAGGAATAATAAAACACAAGAACCAAACCCTAGGAACTAATACAAAATCAGAAGAAACCAGAAAGTAATAACAATAAATTCAAAACGCTGGATCAGCGACCCCGGACCATAACACCGTGCCTGCTCTTAATTACATGAAGAACAAAAACAAAAGTCAGGGGTCAAGAATTGTATTGTTAATAACTGAAAGATAAATAAAACACTGAAGGGAAGTGTAACCACAAGTGCTTCCGAAATAGAAAAACAAAAGGGCCAGAAATATGAAATAGAGCAGGTAGTGTGAGGCCAAAATAAAATATTATAAAAACAGCCTAATAAAGCACAACTATTAAAAATAACATAAAGACAAAGAAAAAAGTATGAATTTAAACATAATTATAAATATCGCTTTGTATTATATCTTACTATGTACAGTATATGAAAGAATAGTAATACAATTGCAAGAAAAAAATGTGAATTTACAAAGCACACAGAACAGAAACATAGCATAATGTTCATAAATTCAGGAGGTCATGGAATTTATCCAGAGAATTGCTGATTTATTCCAAATATGTCCACCATATAAATCCACATATTGTGTGCAATCTAACCTGTTAGATATAGAAAGACGTATTTATTAAAATAATATTACTAAAAGTATTTCGACTCCATTATGAAGAAAAGAATTCTGTAATACTTTGCAGGGTTTCAGCAAACACATAGTTTAATTGAAAGGAACTCTTACTTTTTCAGAATACTAAGACACTTGGACAATTTTATGCTATCCAAATTTGCCATTTCTGCAAGGCCTTCTTGTCCAACATTAGTGTCTGACCTCAACAATGGGCTTCTGCATGAAGGGCAAATAATTCCCATAAACACTTGTGGAAAACCTACATAAGTTGAAGCTCTAATAGATCCAAATGCTAGGCCAACTAAGAAAGTAAAATGTTAAGAGAACATTTGTACTAACAAGGCCTTCAGGTTATGGCCTCTAGGGTTGCATGGAAATGGTCACATGAGCTAATAGCTCAGTTGATGTAATGAGATCCACAGAGGAAAAAAAGAAATCATAAGGTCGTTCCACTTACTGTAATAATTCACTTTCTCAGTCCTGAAACAACAGTGGTTCTCATAGTCTGGTATCTTACATTTGTATGAAATGCTGATTTCATCTCATTTGTTCTCCCTGTTGTACAGTCTGGCTGTTGCATTTTTAATTCTATCACTGAATGATTGAAGTTAGTCAAATGTAAAATATAACAATCTCAATTGTTGAAGTCGTAAAAGGTTTTCACTGGCTCTGTTTTTGGGTGGGGAGGTGATATTTTGACTTTTTTATTTAGTTTGCTTTATTTGACATTTAGTTTCATGGAGCAAATGCATGATGAATCTAATGTGACATATATAACTTTTGGTGGGCACGTTGAATTGGAAAAATACAAATTTCTGTATTTTGCTATTATGTTTACTGCTTATATTCTAATACTCTGCAGTAATTCAACCATAGTTTGCCTCATCTGGATTAAGAAAAGCCTCCATGAGCCTATGTATGTTTTCATTGCAGCTTTGTTGCTCAACTCTGTTGTGTTCAGTACAAATATCTACCCCAAACTATTAATGGACTTTTTATCTGAGAGGCAGATTACAACTCACTCACTATGCAGGTTTCAGGGAATTATTTATTACTCTTTAACTGGTTCAGAGTTCTTTCTCTTAGCATCCATGGCATATGACAGGTATGTGTCCATATCTAAACCTTTGCAATATCATACTATTATGAGAAAAACAACTGTCACAGTTTTGTTAGTTTTAGCTTGGCTTCTGCCTGCTTGTCAGCTTGTGCCATCTGCTGTATTCAGCAACAACTCACAAATCTGCAATTTCACTTTGAATGGAATTTTTTGTAATAATGCGATTTCCAAGCTTTATTGTGCAACCCCCAAAACATACTACTTAATGTATGGTGTGTTTATTCTGTTTAACACTGTATTTCTTCCTTTGCTTTTCATAATGTTTACATACACAAAAATATTTATAATATGCTATCGAAGCTGCAGAGAGGTCAGGAAAAAAGCTGCACAGACCTGTTTACCTCACGTGCTCGTTTTGATCAGCTTCACATGTTTATGTTCGTATGATATAATTATAGCTCGACTGGAAATTGATTTATCTCAAAATACACGTTTCATAATGACTTTACAAGTGGTTTTGTATCATCCTCTCTTTAATCCAATTGTATATGGACTGAAAATGAAAGAAATCTCTCAACACCTCAGAAGGTTGTTTTGTCATCGCGTCTTATGTGTCAAAACGGATGTTGGAAGTGCGGTCATTTCCTTTGTGATTCAAGTTCAAAGGCCTGACTTCTCTACAGTCTAGACATTTCTTTGTACAGCAGATAATTTACATGTTAAAAATTATAATTAGCTAATTTTCAAGTTATCGTAGCCATACTAAAAATGTGTATTATAATCTTATTTGACTTTGGTTACTGACTAATGCAAATTTTATAGATTAGTTATTGTATTGTATTGTAATAGTAATATTACTATTTTATTATTACCATAATTAAAAATCATCTAAATCTTAAACAGTATATAAGTAGTTCCTTATATCTATATTACATTCAGATAAAGTTCTCTTATTGTGTGTTTTTAAGTGTATGCCATGTACTGTTCAAACAAGATGTTTTATATAACCCTTTTTCCTGTATATGGACATCATATTTCCTTACTCATACTAAGCTGTAATAACCTATGCATGTAATATATGTGTGATGGGTGCATCCCTCAGTAAGACTCCAGTCTTGTATACCCCAGATTTTGAGAAACCTTTTATTCTTCAAACTGATGCTTCTGACAGGGGTCTGGGGGCCGTTCTTCTACAGGGACCGCCCAATGAGTGACACCCAGTGGCTTTCATTAGCCGTAAAATGTTCCCAAGAGAGATGAGATACTCAACGGTGGAAAAAGAGGCTTTAGCAATCAAGTGGGCACTTGATTCCTTCAAGTATTACCTCCTAGGCCGGGAATTTACACTGGAAACTGACCACAAGGCGCTCCAGTGGTTGGAGAAAATGAAGGATACGAATGGACGAATCACCAGATGGTACCTTGCGATGCAGCCATTCCGTTTTACCATTCAGCATATCGCAGGCAAGAACAACTGCACAGCGGACTATCTCTCTCGCTGTTCCAGCTCACTGCTGAAGGGGGGGAGTGTGTGATGGATGCATGCAACCACACAACTGAGATACTTAGGTAATATTCAT